CTGCTGAATCAGAGAGCCCTGGCACCTGGGAGTGCAAACTGGCTGGGAGCCCTGTTCCCTGGAAGCCCCATCCAGCAGGGCGGCATGGGACCGGTGAGCCCCAACCCTGGGGAGTTTTGGCCTGGCCCTTAGCCAGGGATTCCCAGCAGAGCAGCTGGCAAGCCCTGTCCCTGGGGATTCCAGATCAGGCAAGGGAGAAGCGGGACCACTGCAGCCGGGAAACTATATCCCCGGGGAGTCCCAGTGGGCTGGAGCCCAAGTCCAAGTCCCACAGGCTGGAGCCCAGTAACAGAGGGGCTGGAGTGGAGGCAGCCACAGGGAGGGGGAGTGTCCTGGGAGGCCATTGGCAGAGGTCCTGACCTGATCTGGCAAATTCCCTCATTAGGGACAGGTCAGGTAAGGTCCCCAGGGTGCCAGACAAGGTAGGTCTGACCTATACTACTCTCTCTCTCTCACAGGGACTTCAGCTGAAAAACTTTATATTAGTTTACTTTGGCAGCTTTCTTTTGGAAAATGCATGCAATCCACAAGTCAAATTGTCCCAAAGACTGTATAGTAGATCTGAAGCATTAATTTAATCTTTTCATATTCCTCAGGATCAGAGATTAAAAACAGGTTTTCAATAAATGAGTTAAAAATTATTATGATTATCAGTAGAAAATTTGTGACAGTGAAAGATCAGTCTTAAAAGATTAATTCATGGGAAATACTTTGCTGCTTCTGTGAAAAAACAGCCAGTGAACTAATCCAATACATATGCTATTATTCCTTGGCATAGAGAGCATATCAAAAGCGGGTCAATGGTTAGAGAAGGGAAACCACAGAAATACTATACAAAGGGTAAATGGAGTACTACTTAAAGTAATTATATTTGCTCTCTCTTTTTCCTAATCCTACAAACCAGAGACTGAAAACAAGGAGGCAAACCTGAACTGTCGATGACTGAAGGCAGATAAATAGCAGAGTTCTTGAGAATCAAAAATTTCCCACACTAGAATCAAAATGATGCACATTAAAGAAGGGAGCAGACTAGGATTTGAGTGGAAGAGATATTGACAATTACTTGGAATTCTCGCTTCTTGACCATTTCTTCTTCCAGGCTACGTCTACACTGGCCCCTTTTCCGAAAGGGGCATGCTAATTTGACAGGTCGTAATAGGGAAATCCGCGGGGGATTTAAATATCCCCCGCGGCATTTAAATAAAAATGTCCGCCGCTTTTTTCTGGCTTTTAGAAAAGCCGGAAAATAGAGCCTACACTGGCCCCAATCCTCCGGAAAAAAGCCCTTTTCCGGAGGATCTCTTATTCCTACTTCAAAGCCGGAAAAAAGCGGCGGACATTTTTATTTAAATGCCGCGGGGGATTTAAATATCCCCTGTGGATTTCCCTATTACGACCTGTCAAATTAGCATGCCCCTTTCGGAAAAGGGGCCAGTGTAGACGTAGCCCCATTGTATAAGTACAACTGTGGAGTTGCTTTCTTTTAGGGAAAGGAATAGAAATTCAGCATGGCTCTTGAATGCTTGAAACATTTAATCAGTCTTCTGTTAAAAAGGGGGAGAACCTTTCTTGGGGTATTATGGATAGTTTGCTGGATATAAAGAAATATTCATAACCTTGGGAAGAGACACTGTAGCTTTTCTTGGTCCTGGTGTGATGGTAGCAAGGACTACCCATATTAAACAATTACCTGAAGAAATCCCTTTTGCTGGCCTCACTGAAGGAAGAAAGCCTGTTTTCAAGTGGGCTACATAGGTATGCTCTCATAAGATTTGGTGGCCTATAGAGAAAGTGTGCTCTTACATCATAAAAAGAAAAAAGAAAATCACAAATATACTCAGAGACAGTAGTCCCTTTGCTAGCCCTTTAAAAACAACAATGAAAAACGTCTTACTCTGTCCCTCAAAAGCTTTTAGTTCACTCCGGATAAAAATTAACAGCCCTTTTTGTGCTCAACAAATTCAGATTTACTCCTGGAAATTCTGATTTGGGTAAAATCATGTCTAAGCAATCCGTTCATTGGGAAAGAGATGAAATCACTAAAATGCTCTTGGGGAGAAGGCTACAACATATTTGTGGCAAATATCATCCTTCTGCCACTAAATGCTAAGAGGATCCTTAGCAACTCCACAATCTCTCAAAGATACTCACTTTTCTCATGTAGGCAGCCTAACCATGCCAGATAATGTGGGGGAAAAGCACAGGACACATCACCTGTTTTCTTCTATAGAAGGTTCTTCTAGGTAATCTGAAAATCCTAAGCTGCCTTATCAAGGATAGAGTATCAGATTCTTGCATAATAATTTTGCCCTCCCCTATTTTTACCCCAAAGGTAATTCTATTTCCCATGTGCTTGAACCCATAGTAACAGAGCTGGAGAGGCTTGAAGTACTGTGGGTCAGCAATACACCGTGCAGTGTATTTAACATCCTTCCTTTCCACCTCACTCTGTCCTCTTCAGCAACCTCTCTTATGAGGATATTTTCTTTCATAATGTGCAGTCTCTTTTCTGCATGGGAACTACAGACGTGCCCTGTCTCTGAGGTAGAGGTTTCTATTCCTGTTACTTCCTGATCCTATGCAATTTGCAGAATTTGAATAGAAGGAAAATATAGTCATGAATAGTCACTCTGGGTCTCCAGCCTCCCTTTCCTAAATGCTGTGGTAATTGGTATGTTGCCTTTGATTTGAAGGACTTGTATTTACATGCGACTATCAAAGCCAGAGATGTTCAAAAGATTTCTGGTCAACAATATCCATTATTAGTTTATGGTACTGCTCTTTGACCTGTCTGCAGTCCCATATTTACATTATGTATCGTGCTGGTGGGTCACATTCCTAAGGAAAAAAGTGCAACTATTTCCTTACCTGGGCAAGAAACTGGTAGAAAGTCGATCCAAGCTCCAAGTGGAAGTAGTCTATTCTGGATCTGTTCCCTCTTCAACGTTCTGTCTGTTGATCAATGAGAACAAAGTCACACTTCTTCCCATATCAAAGAACAGAATTTGTAGGCATAACCCTGGACTTTACAATGGTGAGAACATTCCTACTGCAAGTGAGATTCTAGTCAAATGTTATGTTTCCATAGATCTTGTAGTCCATCCACTTGCAACAATAAAAAATGGCCTCAAGTTATTGCGGCACGTGGTATCCTGAATACATACAGTTCCACATGACAGACTCAAAAATGGAAGGGTGGTTGAAGTCTGCGTACTTCTTTACCCATTGGATATGTTGATCTATGTACCTGCAAAAGTCCTAATGTTCAAAAAATGAGGAACTACTCCTGCACAAAAGGGGGGTTTTGCGCAAAAGGGAAAGGAAGAGGAAATGCAAATGAGCGCTCAATTTGCATTTGCTCTTCCTCAAGAGGCTCGTAGTGTAGATATAGCCTTAGGCTATGTCTATACAGCAAAGTTATTTCGGAATAACGGCCTCAAGCACTGGTTTAACCTCACTATCATTAGCTCTCCAGTCTGCTGACTCTCTCTGCCATGGCTCTTTTGACACAGTCTCAAGATTACCACAATATCTGCCAGGAACGTGTTACACTCTAATCCATCTGTCTCATGGTGCACCCTAGTTAATTCCTCAAGAGACATAGTGTTCTGCAAATGTGTAAAATATTTCAGAGCCGAAAGAAGACAATCTACTAGGTATACTTACTTGATGATATGGACATTGTTCTCTGTAAGGTGAAAGTGTAAGATGAAAGCAGGGGAGCGTTTACCAGTCCTGGCCTCTATCCAACATGTTTCTTCATTTGAAATTCATAACTAGATTTGCAATTCCAACTCAATCAAACCATATACTTAACATTCTTTCCTTTCACTGTTCTCATAAGCTTGAAGAAAGACTCCATACCTTGGATATTCAAAGCACTTTGCCAAGTTTGGATCTATAGCAATATTACCTCTAATCTTTTCCATTCATGTGTGGAAATTTTATGTGCACGGTGGCATGGGCAGATGTGCATCACCAGTAGAAACAAAAAACCTAACTGTGGGCCCTCCGCTAATCATCTGCACAGCATGTGACTCTCTCCTTGAGTGGCTGCACAAGCACATAGCATAATCATTGTTCAGGTAGATTTCCAGACACACCACCAGATCTAACTGCCTGTGAGTCACCTAAAGTGATATGGATGTGTTCTGTGAATGTTGAGATGTATTACACATATCCACTCTTGGGCTACGTCTAAACTATGAGCCTCTTCCGCAAGAGGAAATGCAAATGGAGCGTTCATCTGCATTTGTCATGCTCTCATTTGCATTTCCTCTTTTCCTTTTTGCACAAGAGGTTTTTGTGCAAAAAAGCACCGCGTAGACGGCTCCTTTTTGCGCAAAACCTCACTTTTGCACAAGAGCCGATCTTCCTCACAAAATGAGGAAGAACAGCTCTTGCGCAAAAAGGAAAGGGAGAGGAAATGCAAATGTGCGCTCCCTTTGCATTTTCTCTTGTGGAATAAGTTCGTAGTTTAGACGTAGCCCAAGAGTGATGCAAGGGGTCTCCTCTCTTTATAGCATCATGTAGCAGCACACAATTGCTAAGGATGCACATTTACCCCAACAGGCATCACTTATGGAAAAAAAAAAATCTCTGGTGGACGGGGCATATACACACCTGAACAAAAATGGACATGGCCAACACATCTCAAAGGACAAGTAACAGAACAGTTTATTAAACTTCTTTATTCCTGATTGTTTCAAGACCTCTTAAGAGTGTAAAATATTAAATCTGAAGTCACTGGAAGATGCTGAGAAGTCAGCATTTTGAACTAACAGGACACAAACGTGTCGAAATATGGACTTTAGAGCTAATTTCAGGCATTCATCAGTGAAAGTGCTGGCCTAAAATGCTTACAATCTTTCTAAATCACATTCTAATCTATTAAGTTTTATTAGATGTGTGAAAAATGCTACTCAAGTTTTCCTAATTTTTAAGAACTTTTTCTTGAAACGTCCCAAGAAAGGAGGTTGTAAAATAAAACAGATAGCTGCTGAAAAGCAAATATATTTATTATGCACTTTCATATACATAAGGTTTTTTGCTTAATATAATACAAGAAATAAAATAATTTTACAATGTGAAATTCATTCAATGTACATTATAGGCTATATACAACTCCATCCAAGAAAAAAAAGTCCATCTTCAAACCAAGTTAACTGAACAGATCAGATGGAGGATATTAAGCATAACACACATTTGCATAGCAGAGTGATGAGGGAAACAGCCTTTTATTTTTAAATCGATGGTAATACTTTCAATACTGGTCCACAAGGAGGACAAAAGGAGGACACTGTGCCTCAATATCTTTTTAGACCTGAAAATTTCAACCTTTTCGTGTTTGAAAACTATCTCCGTAAGTTCATGTTATTGGTGTTGATGTTCATTCAGAAGACAATCTTTTCTCTAGCTTTCCCATCATGAATTTGTGATCATTTTTGTAGATGATTGTTGGAGAGATTGCATGAAATGTGATGAGGAGGAGATAGAACTAGTCTCATTGTGAATTATGAACAAGATCTAGAAAGGAGAAAGATTTCACAGGCTAAATTCTACTCGAGTTACAAGTGTGCAAGCCCACTGACTTGTGTGATTGTACAGACAGCAGGATATCACCCAACATTTTAAAAGTCCACAGTGAATTGCTAACTTTCGAGGGATATTAGTTTTACTTTCTTACCATAGTACAGACCACATAAGGTGTGATATTAAAATCACATATAAAAGCAATGTGGAATGTCTCAAACCTTTATCAAGGTGGATATTTTAACAGAATAGTTCATGCTTTATTCCAACTCAATATTGAAAAGCTGCACGAACTGCTATTTTGAATCTGAAAGTAATTTTCAACAAATGATTTATATGTAGGGTTTATCCACCAACTGTAAATATTACTCATACAAAAACCTGAAGCTGTCTGGAAACTGTAGCCCATTGTGAAATTGGCCATATCATTGCCCCCTGACCCAATGTGCATTTTGTAACAAAAACAATAAAATTAAATAAATAAAACCCCAATGACAGTCAAGGTACGAAAAATGTAAGTCCTCAGGGATATCTTTCTACAGAACAAAACATACACCTAATAAAAAAAGAAAAAGTTGTGTTCTTGCACAGTACTGCAAATACACGATACTTGAGGTTCATAACAAGTTTACTAAAACTTTCTGGTACTCTCTCTTTCCTGAACCATTAACGTTCTTAAGGCTATTCTGCAAGAGTTCCATTGTGTTTATTTTATAAATATCCCACAGGGACAAGAAATTAAATACTCGAAACATTCACTTCAGAATTATCAATATTGCTATGGTGTCAACTTCTAACATTACATTTTACTACACATATGCTCATGAAAGATTTTTTTTTTTACATCTGATAGTGTAATTAATAAGAGGTGCACCAATTTAAAAAAAATCAAATTTAATTATGCTCTCATGACTATTCATGTTAGTAGTAAGCTATCAAAATCTTCCACGTCCAAGAATATACAATGTATATGCATCCAAGGGCCATTTATTAAAACTAATGAATAGATCATCATAACTTTACATCACACTATTCAGGGAATGCACTGAATATCAATACAAAAAAAGTTGGATTCAAGTCTTTAGAGGAAATATGTAATAATTTCTTATAGTCAGATGATGTAATAGAGAATGGTGCGATATACTTTATATTTTCAGGCGTGAATCAGTTTTATGACTTATGAGAGGTACAGTTAAGAGTTCTGAATCTTCATCCGTTGGGAATGGAGAAAATGTCATGCTGTACACTGTTGCATACGATGGACCTGTTTTTGCTTTCTTGTACAAATATTACACACAAGTGAATTAACTTACTTTAATGGACTTATTCCTGAGTTCTTATGAATGTGTACGTGAAAGCAGAATCAGACCTTAAATATTAGCATATTGTACTCAAGCACCTAATATTGAAATTAATCCAGTTTTCTTTATCATACTAGGCTATTTAGTATGCACTAAATTTTGCCCTTGGATACACATGCATAGCTCTCCTATCGATTTTCGTGGTAGCCAGTCCGCACATCCAGATTTCATGCTGTAATTGTAGTAATTTGACTTTATTACCAAAAAAAAAAAAAAAATCCCAGAGACACATGGTGTATGCTTATAATCTCACATCTCTACCATTAAACAGAGTAGTTTTACAGACAGAACATACATGTACTGTAAGTTCACAGTTCAAATACTGTTACCAGTTTTGTTTTCTTTAGAGAAATTTTGAATTACACAGGAAAATGACCATACAATACAGCAATGCAAATATGGTGTAAACTGTATGTTTAGTTTCTTTTGCCACAGGAAAATAAAATAAATACAAATAGCACTGCCCTCCCATACATAGTTCTTTGTGGCACATGCACATTTATCAAGCCTTCTGGAATAGAATATCAAAAATCCTTGCTCTTACAATTTTTCAGCTGTTGTCAGGGAAACACTCTGCAATTAAGAAAAAGTGCTGTGTATTATGTACAAAGTACACAAAATAAACTTCTGAAGCACAGAGGGTTACATTGAGAAGGCAGCCTTAAAATGTAGGCACGTTACAGTAATTAAGGTAACTGTACTGAAGTAATCACATTCTTAGTTTTCTAGGTGGACTATCAAGCATTGGATGCTTTGATCCCAGCCAGCTGATTAAACCATTCCAGGCAGAAACTCTTCTGTTCATAGCATCATGGAATTGGCCTAAAAGTGCAACATTAAAATGTTAAATTTGGAAATATTTCATATTTTATACAGAGAGAGAGAGAGAGAGAGATAAACGGACTACACACAGTTTCCAACTAAAGATATTAAGAAATATGAGTCTTGAAATAAAAATTTTCTTTAAAAGCAAAAACACACTCTTGCATTCACCACCCATCTTGGCAATTATATTGTCCCAATACCTAGGGAAACTGTTGGAAAATATTGCCTTTTTTGGCAATAAGTGGTGAGACTTGGAGCTCAAGTACTATAAGTCCTTTGGAATTGGTAATAAAATTCTCCACGGTGAAGTAATATTTTCTAACAAAATGTTCCATAGGCAATTCACTCAAAATAATAAAGATTAATCTGTGAAACATTTTTCAGGGCAGGAACTGAGATGAACTTCAAGAAACATACAGTCTTGGTTTTGTTGGTTAGTGGATTTTTTTTTAAAAAATTGTGAATTGACAAAGAAATAGAGAAGACATCAAAATAAAAAAGCAGTTTTCAGGATGCATCATGAAGCTTTCCCCAGAAAAGATACGAAATTTTACAATTAAAACATATAGTTGTTAAAAAAAAAAAAAAAAGGATTTGAAAGAATGCAAAAGTTACTCTTTGACATTTCATTTTATACACTATGTATGTGGGGGCAAGCATTAAATGGAAAAAGAGCAAAATTAATAGTCAACCTACAGTTATAAAATCATACATAGGGTTATTTCCACAAACTTTTCTCATATATTAAATTTATTTAAGTCAGACAATTTAAAGAATTAGCAAACTAAATGATTGAATCTACGCTCCTGAACAGTAGTTTTGTTTTGGTGGACCCCTTGAAACAGCTTCTACAGTTCCATCATGTTATTTTGAATTTTATTTCACTCAGTTTTTGTTTAAAGGCAGTGTTCAGAGTGCTCATATTCTAAAAGGGTAATGGAATAAAGAGACTGATTATGCAGCATGTTAACCTTATGAAATATATGGAGTAGGAGTAAAATTTTTAAAAAACACAGAAGTGCTGTAGGAGTCCCATTTTCAAAAATGACCAGCACACACAGAATCCAAAGTCCAGTTGACAACTGATAAAATTTGAAAAGCACCTACACGTTACTTAGAATTCTAAGATTTTACCTCAAAACATTTAGTACAAAAAAGGTGGTAGTTATTCTTGCTATATAATTGTAGGTAATTTATTTACATTGTGCAAAGACTAAAGTTTTATATAGAGACAAGCTTTTGAATGTCGTTTGAGGTATCAAGTTGTCTAACTAGTTAGCATTAGAGTTGCACCATTCATTTGGGGAAACAGTTTAGGATCTTGTATGCTGCTTTCTTCCCTTTAAAATAAACCTCAGGGACTAAACTTGTAGCCTAGGAAAAGTACGAAGGGACATATAAGACAGTGAAAATGACTTCTACCTTCCTAAGCAACCTGGGATTAAAAAATTTAATTGCGATTAATCGTGAGTCTCCCCCCTTTGAAACACCGCTGTGGTGTTTCAACAGGGCAGCACTGCAAGGAGCCCGGGATGAGCTGGTGTTCCCAGCTGACCCCGGGCTCCATGCAGCGCTTCCCCTTTGAAGCACTGGGGAAGCGTTACCAAGGGGAAGCACAAGGCATTACACATGGCATTTCAGCAGAACCTGGGGTCAGCTGGGGAGTTCCCAGCTGACCCTTTGAAACACCAGAGGCGGCGTTTAAAGGTGAAGCCACTGCACAGCTGACCCCACATTCTGGAGAAATGCCACACGGAGCCCAGGATCAGCTGGGGTGTCTCCAGCTTACCCCAGGTTCCACTGCCCCTTTGAAACATGTGCAGGCAGTGTTTCAAAGGGGCAACTGCTACACAGCTGAGAGGAGGCTGCCCCTTTGAAACGCCCCCTAGGCACATTTCAAAAGGGGCAGTGGAGCCTGGGATCAGCTAGGGACTCCTGAGCAGCTCAGCATTAATGCTTGCGATTAACACATTAAAAAAATAACGCATTCATCCTGCCCTGCATTAATCACAAGCGTTAACTCATATCAATTGATAGCCCTAAAAAACCCTGTTGCTACAAGATTCATGAATGTCTCACCATCATTGGTATTTTATGCTCATGATTTGAAAACCATTTTATAACACAGAAATCCAATAAGCACATGTGAAAAAATATGACACTTCACAATTTTGATTAAAATGTAAAAATACTATTGTAATTTATGTATTTAAAATGCACATATTTTGTTCACGGCAGTGGTTCCCAACCTTTTTGAGCTTACAGACCCCTTTTCATATCTATTAACATTTCAAGGATCCTCCTCCCCAGGGGAGAAAAAAGGAAAAAAAGTAAAGAAAAAAAGTAAGGAAAGGAAAAGAAAAGAAAAAGAGACAAAGAAAAGGAAAGGATAGAATGAGCCCACCATGATAGGCCTGATCTAAACATTTCAAATTTCCCCTGGATCCCCCTGCAGTACCGTTGCATACCATCAGCTGTCCGTGGACCACAGGTTGGGAACCACTGGTTTACGGGATTTCCATATGGTGCATTACTGTGTACCAGCTAAGGTGCGAGAATGAAAGAATACCAGCATGTCACATGTTGACTATCCATATGGACTCTGCTGATGTGTATTAAAAGCTTCCTAGTTTGTGGTGATGTAATATTTTGTTTTGGACTACCTACATAAACATGCATTAAGGATAAAGTATGCCAGAAATATCTACATGAACAGTAGGTCATCAAGTGACTATACCACAGACCTGGGCAAGATGTGGCCTGAGGGCTGGATCCAGCCTGCCTAACACTTTGATCTGGCCCGCAAGCTGCATCTGGCTGGTTTCTATTTATATCCTGCTGCCTGTGCCACCAATGAGCACTAAAACTTACACCTCAGCTGGTGTACACTAATGTACCATGTAGACAAGTCCTATAGGATTAAGTGGTTTACCTACTACAGTGGTGTTTCCTTCTTGTAGTTGAAGCTTGGATCAGTTCCCTCAAGTTGAAGTTTTAAGGCTTGCTTAAGGCTTAGTTCGGTCTCTGCAGGAGGATAGCCTTCCAAAACTTCCTGAAGTCCTCTCTCCTGTCCTGTACGTGGGACAGAAACCCTACCAAGAAAAACCTGATTGCTTTGAAGGTGATAATTTGGGTTTGTCATTATTCCATTTCGCTTCTTCTGTTCCCCACTCTGTTGGTGAATTAGAAACTGCTGCTGAGGTCGACAAACTTCTTGCTGAGATGGGGGGACCAAAATTTTGCACTGTGGTTCTGCTGGCGTTGATTTAGGTGGCACACTGGTCCCAGATTTGGCGACCGGTATTCGTTTATCAAACTGAGTCATTTCATATTCCAAAACTTTAGGTTGGGAGGAGCTGGTCTGCTTGATTTTTTTCACAGCAGATTTGCTGGAGTTTTCTGTTTTCCCCCCTTTGTTTGATTTAGTTGATTTCAAACTGGGTTTTACTTGGCTCCATTCAAATTCACTACTTGGTGAATTATGATTCTGAGTTAAGGAATGAATTGTGGAAGAAGGAGAAACAATTGACTGCCTGCTTCTGCTACGAGGCAGTGAATGCTGCTGTATTTGTTCTGTAAATGACATACTATGGAAGCTATCAATAGGCACTGTTTGAGCAGTTGCTGTAGATGACGTAGTACGCAGAGAAGAGTTTTTGGAACTTTTGAGAGAATTATTTGATAAAGACGACTTCTGACGGTCCACTGTAGAATCTGGAGATTCTGAAGGAGAACTGAAAGCATGAGCAGGACCATTAGACAAACCACGTATAGTAGGCTGCATATCTCCTCCACCAGTGCTCCCTGAACTATTTGATTTTATTGTTAATGACTGCATTTTTGAAGAGACTGATTGCAAGGGTTTTTGCTCCATTGTGTGGACTGGTGATGGAGTGCAGCCATTTAGACTAGATGCACCATATTTTTCCAGTAATTTAATAATCTGAGAATGTCCATTTTTTGCTGCAACACGCATAGCAGTACGTCCAAATTGATCTGCATGATTCGGATCAGCACCATGCTCCAATAATATCTGCACAACATCGATGTGTCCTTCCTGTGCTGCAATGCACAGTGCAGTAGCACCTTGATTACAGGTGTGGTCAACTAAGGCTCCATGATCAATCAAAAGCCGAACTACTTTTACATGGCCTTGCCAAGCAGCAGACTGCAAAGCAGACCGCTTTTCATTGTCTGCAGCATTCACATCTGCATGGTATGTTATCAGTAACTGCACCATCTCCAAATGGCCCTGCCAGCAGGAAACATGGAGTGCAGTCCTTCCTTCCGCATCACTAGCCTCCACATTTGCACCATTTTCCAAAAAATATTCAGCCATTGTAAGCTGGTTTTCTAATGCCAAGATGTAAAGGGTTGGCCGGCCATCAGCATCTTTGTAGTTTACATCTGCTCCATGGCTGAAAAGTAGTTCGACTATATCTCTATGACCTTCTAAAGCAGCAACTCTAAGAGAATTTCTCCCATCGTAGCCTCTCTGATCAATGTTAGATTTATTTTCCAGTAATACCTGTACACAATCATAGTGACCTTCTTGTGCAGCCAGTATGAAAGGTATCCGTCCATCATTATCAATTTCATTTGTTCTAGCACCTTGTTCTATCAGGGCTTCACATATCAATCTGTGACCTTCAAAAGCTGCCATGTGCAAAGGTGTCCATCCTGCATCGTCCCTATGATTTTCATCTAGTCCTCTGTCTAGCAGAGTCCGTACTACTTCAACATTGCCTTGGGCAGAGGCTATACTAAGAACTGTTCGACCTTCACTATCAATGCTATCCACAGCAGCACCCCAAAACAAAAGAGTATTTACAACTGAAGCATGCCCCATAGAAGCTGCTGCCAGAAGGGGTGTACGACCATTATTGTCAGTGTGATCCACATCAGCGCCTCCTTCTAGAAGTAAGTCAACAACATCCACGTGTCCTTCATAGGCAGCTACCAGAAGTGGAGTCATACCATCTTTGTCACAATGATCTACTTCAGCACCACGGTCAATTAAAAGGCTAACCACTGAAGCATGCCCCTTACTAGCAGGTACACATAGTGCAGCAACAGACAGAGCAGTCCTTCCATCTACATCCTCATGATTTACCTCTGCACCATGGTCCAGGAGGTGCTCCACAATCTCTTTATGTCCCATGTATGCTGCTGCAATCAAAGCTGTTCTACCTTCATTATCAGCTTTGTTGACTTCAGCTCCATGCTGTAGCAAATTCAGCACTATATCTTCATGTCCTCCCCATGCTGCTGCTCTCAAGGCTGTTCGACTGTCAGCATCTGCACAATCCACTTTGACTCCAGCATAAAGGAGTGCAGAAACCACCTCAGTGTGTCCACCCCAAGCTGCAGATCGTAGTGCTGTCCAGCCATCATGATCAGTGTGATTTACATTAGCCCCACATCCAATTAAACAATTGACAACCTTGGTATGTCCTTGTCGAGCAGCTAAAGTAAGTGCTGTCTGCCCATGAGCATCTTCTATTTCTAAATCTGCTCCTCTAGAAACAAGTAAGTTAACAACATCAAGATTGCCACTATACGCAGCATTAGCTAACAATGTTCTCCCATTTGAATCACTCTGATTTATGGAAGCTCCATTATCTAACAGGGTCCGAATGGAATCTTCTCTTTCCAGAGCTTGTCGTACAATACAAGATGTACGATCATCTTCACTATTGACATGAGCACCAGCTTTTACTAGCAGCTGTAGTACTTCCTGCTCTTTTGGGATTAAAGTGGACAAAGAGTCTTTGACAGGGGTGCCATTCCATATCATCCACAAAGCCAACTCAGAAGTCTCTAAATGCAAATTTGAATTAATTAGATGCAATGCAAATTCTTGGGCCTCTAATGGTGTCAACTCCTTTGCTCGACAGGTGTAACTCATTGCTAACATCCTATGTCCCTCTGCTGCATTACATAAATATTTCTGTGTACAGTGCTTTACATCCAGCAGCCATTCTGCAAAACTGTAATGAAACAAAATTTTAGTATTTCCTAGCCCATCAACAAGAACTTTTGACAGAACATCTAGTTTGCGTTGAAAGTCTTCTACAGTCAATGTCATGTTTTTGGTCCATACTGCATGATACAGTTCTGTTGTAGTCAATGGCCTACAAGCTGCAAGAATCACATTCAGAATGGGCTGGACCTTTGCAAATTGTTTTCTTACAAAAAGCCTCTGACACAGCCAAAGATACAGGCCATTTAGTGTGCCAGGAATGTCACGGATCTCTCTTAGCATGATAAAATTTTCCACAACTCCATCTAGGACACGTTCTAGATAGAGGAAACAACCACTGCTTTTGATGTGAAGCTGATTCAGCATTTCTGCAGTTTCTTTTGTGAGATGTTGTCTGAGTGCTTCTTCTTGATCTAAGCGATGGAGAATATACTGCTGTACATCTTTCACTATATATGCCTTTCGGAGATCATCCAGACTTATTTTTCGAAAACCTATTTGAGAGACAAGAAAGATAAAGGTCAATGAAAAATTCTAAGGTTTAGTTTTATACTGGTTTTGATTATTCAATGTTGCACAGGAAAAAGAAGGCTTTTGGACAGGAAGCTTGGGAAACAAGAGAAATAATGTAGGTATTACATTATACACACAGTACATCTGAAATTCAGTGATAAATATCTAAACTAATATGAATAGCTGAGTACTGTGCTACAATATATAAAGAAGCATATTTTTTTCATATTCCACCAAAAAGAGAATGTGCATTAGTAAACAAAACTGAACTGGACCCTGGTACAGGGATTCTGACTCTCAGACAATGCCAAGCACACTAACAATACATAACCAGAAACACTGAAGAACAGATCTGCACTCTTAACATCTCAGTCCTTTCATTTTGGTTCATCTTCACTCCACTTCCTGCTTTAGGAATACCTCTAATGCATTTGAAAGTTACTCTAATTTTGGCTTTATAATCATTTACACAATAATTTTAATGTATTATCCTTTGTACGAAAGAGTTCTGCCCAAATTTCCCTTTTATTTACACCTTCCTAATTTTCAGATTTTGACATTAATTTTTCTACCTCTCAGAAGTCTAAAATGAATAGTTATTCATCTCTTGCATAATTTGGGGACTTTCTATTAGTTCACTTTTACACCTCTTTTTGAGCAAGAAAGACACTTTAATTTAGATTAGTTTGTTTACATCTGTTCTCCTCGCCCCCTTCCCTAACCTACAACAAAACTCTTCAAGGCATAAGGACCCTTATGCCACACTGATTCACACAAATGAGTACAGTAATTACTCATTTAACACGTGCCCACTTAACACATTTTCGCAATAGCACGATTTTTTGGGGGGAACTTTTTCAAACAACATGACCGTCCCCAAAATAACATGAAAATAATCAAATGACGGACTACTTTGTGCAGTGGTATAAGTTGCTGAAAACAGTGGTAATATGCATGAGCAGATGAACACATGTGGTCACATTGCTCCTCCGCTCACTCACGTGTTTATCTTTGTGTTTTAACAAACCACGGCAACTTGTGTTGCTAGATATCTAAAGTAGACATTGACGATCAAACACCAACAAAAAATTGACTGTCACTACTACCTGAAACGCAATCCCCACATTTTCCATTATTTTTAATGGGAAAATTGACCCTGCATATCACGTTTTCGTTTAGCATGAACGTTTTCAGAAACACATGCACTGCAGGGCCTGGGCATGATGCAATGAGGGATAGTGCACTTTTTTACTGCCCTGCTCCTGGAGACACATGTAATGCCACGCTCCCTGGCACTGGCCCCAGACACAATGGGAGCAGCAGGGAAAAGGAGAACATGCTGCCATTTCCCCAGATAAGGGGCAGGGGGAGTAGCCGCATGTAAAGCCACTTCCTCCTCCATACCACAGATTTTCCTGGGATAAGAACACTAGGAGTACAGAGATTTCAGTGTATAAGACAGCTAGCCTGACATTAGTTCTGGGAAAAATAGTGGAATACGTGATATGGGGTTCATTTGCTAAAGAATTAAAGGTTAGGAATACAATGCCAATCAACATTGCAAACAAACCTAATTTAATTGTTTAATGAAATTTATAATTTCACTGATGGAATTCACACATTTTGATTAAAAAATAAGAACTCTAAAAAAAAAATCAGAATAATCGGCAGAGCACATATGAAATAGATTAAAAATAGGCATCTGACAGCTCTCAAAAATTGTCAATTCCTAGTGATTCCTATGTTAATAAGAATCATACCCAATCTTAGTCATCATCATCAATTATCAGAAAGTAAATATAAAATCACCATGATAATATTGGCAAATGACAAAGACTAATGGAGTATTAAAAGAATGTTGTCAGTCATACAAGCATGATGTGAATCAGTTGGTAACTTGGGCCCATTCAATGAAAATACATTTTAATACACCTAGATGCAGATTTAGACATCTAGAAAAAAGGAATGCAAGTCATACTTACAAAATAGGGTACTGAATCCTAGAAAGCACTAACTCAGAAAAATATTTAGGGATCACACAGGGCATGAAACACATTTAGTCCTAGTGCAATGCTAGGGGGAAAAAAAAAAAAAAAGAGAATCTGAAGTCATTGAGCTCATTCAGGAATAACTGGGTAAAATTTTATACCCATGACAGGGGTGGGGAACTTATGACCCCAAGCTCCCATCTTATCTTGATTCATGTAGGGGGCAAGCCGGTGCTGATGCTCCAGCCCTGCAATGAGTCTCTGAGCCTTAGTGCCCGTGTATGGTTGGAGCACAAGCACCAGCTCCCTGCTGTGGGGAAAAGCAGCGTGGAGCCAGTGCTAAAGCATCTGCATGCTGCTGTGCCTCCTTCCCCACAGTGCAAGTGAACAATAGTACAGGGAAACATTCACTTGCAGGCTCCACCCCCATTGTAGCAGGGGGTGGTGCGTACAAGCACATGATCAATGCCTCAATCCCCTGCTCTCTTGCACTCTACTTCCTGCCCAGACCCCACACCCAGGCCTTCTCTTGAACCCAGCCTCTTGCTGAGACCCTATTTCCCCACCTTCACCTGGCTCCTGCCAAGAACGTGCACCCACACCCCTGCCAACTCTCTGGCAGGTCCCTCCCACATTCTGAACCCCCACTAGTCCCAAACCCCCAGAAGAGTTAGTCTGGTGCAAATCCTTGAGCCTCAGCTCCTCTCCCCTTCAGGGCTGGAGTGCAAGGGAAACTCTGGTGCCTCAAGTTGCCTAAGTGAGGGAAGTCTTTTTTTTTTTTTTTTTGCTTCCCTGACCAGAAAGGTTCCCCATCCATGGCCTATGACTAGATGAGATCTTAAAAACTCTGGCTATTCTGGAGCTTAAGTCTTTGGAGGCCTAAGGAATCGGACATAGTGATGTGTGTGTAAAAGTACAAGTAGACTCTAAAAAGTACCTAACAGGATTACTACATATTTATCTTTCTTATTAAACCATAGTGAGCTATTTGCCTTTTTAAAAGTTACTAAACACTGGGATAAGGATTTCAGTACTTCCCTACTCTGTATTACCTAAATAACTTGTTCTTTAAAGTGCTGATTGCTGTATCTAAGAAAAATAAAATTTCAACATGAGTACTAAAAAACACTATATTGTATTCTTTTGAAATGATCCAAGCAGGTAAGAACAATTACAATCACTAGTACTACTCTCTGAAAATTAAAATTTTAATATGCGGAGTTGAATACACTGAGTCCCAAGAACTAAGCATATCATTTTAATATTTTACTCAATTATTTGAAAATAATGTTGCTATTTAGATTTGTAATAATAATATAGTTATATACTGTAGAAGAAGATAACTCACTTGCATTAAAAGTTATGCTTAGCAACAAATGCATAATGATGTGGAGAATTTCTATATTAAAAATAAATACAATTTACTGCTGATAGTGTGATCATTTTAATCTCCTTTAACAGCCTTCAAAATATTGAAAGCAGACACTATCAAATATATATTTAACTATCCTTTTAATCCTGTAAATTCCACAGTACACGATTCTGCAAATGAAGACTAATGTAGATCAATTTCCAACTTCTTCAGTAGTACAACGAATCAGAGTTCTTTAATGTCATGTGGTCCCTTTGTCTTCTTCACTGTTTGTTCTTAAGAGTAGGAAAGGAAGTCATTATACATATTGGAATGTTATACTTGGAAATATGTCAAAACTTGAGACTCTTGGGAGTTTCAGTAGCCTGCCTATTCCCAGAGTGTAGCAGATGGATAGAATGTGTTGTGTGTGTATTTTTATGTTACATGCAGCATAAAGCAAGTCTCTGTCATCTGAAACTTTAGTCTTGACCATGTCAAACTGTGTATTTGCCAAAGATCCAGTTTTTTTTCCTAAACAAACATAACAATGCTTGATTACCACTTTTCTGGAAGAAACTCTAGAAGTCATAGAAACAGCAATTTAAGTTGCTGAGTCCCCAAAAAATTGTAGGGCACAATTGTACTTCACCATTCCAGTGAGACACAGTAACCTCATCCATCTACTATAACAGCCTGCACACATATTCTTAAGAGTCAGCTGATCTACCTTAAAATCTTTAGTTTTAAGATCAAAAGTGGTCATCAAACTGCAAATTATCTTCGGGGGGAAGCAATCATGTGGCAACCAGTTCAACTGGTTTTGGCCATTATTCCATAGAGCTAATACATGTCTGAAGTGATACTATGAAAAAATTGCATTGTTTAGATCAGTGTTCCCTCTAAGCTGCACAGCAGCACAGTTTCACAGGTGATTAATCAGCCCTGCCCTGTTAAAGGCTCAGGGCTACATGCAGTTTGCTGACTGACTGGGCAGGACTGATTAATCACCTGTGAAACTGTGCTGCCATGCAGTTTAGAGGGAACACTGGTTTGGATGTATGTTTAACATGACTTCCAGATCTAAACAGTCAGTCTACAAATTGTGTTCAATCTGCAAATTCAACCTGGAATCTGAAACTAAAAACTCAAGTACTTTCATTAAAAGTTCCACATTCCATATTAGGTTTCTTTGGTACCTAAGCAATCCCAATTACCTTAATTTGGATTGCATAAATATTATTGACTGGAGTTTAGTGAACGATTCAGTTGACGTTGCTGAAGAAAGAATGTAGTCTAGGTTAGGAATGCAGTTTCACTTCTTTTGGTATTTAGGACTGGACCTAAATATACACACTGATACAAGGTACAGGTATTTGGAGTGGAAGGTGGCACCAAATCAGCACAGATCGTGTACATCACATCATAGTGCTATAAAACAAGGAAGGGATATTCTTGCCAAAATTAGACAAACCTTCACTCTTAATTAAGGAGTCATATCATCTGTCTCCTCTAAACAAAGTAGAAATAATCATTCCCTCTCCACCACCTTCCCATTTTTTTCCCCTAGTGTCATATGAAAGACTACAGAATATTTAAATTAATGACCTCTGAAGAATGATGGACTCAGCTGTCTGCCAGG